TTGAAACTTCTGAACTCAAGCGATCCACTCACCTCAGCTTCCCAGAATGCTGGGATTACAGGCATAAGCCACTGCACCTGGCCTTGGCTAATTTTTAAAAACAATTTTTATAGGGCTGGAGTCTTACTATGCTGGCCAGGCTGTTTTTGAACCCCTGGCTTTGAGTAATCCTCCCTCCTCAGCCTCCCAAAGTGCTGGGATTACAGGGATGACCCACCATGCCTGGCCCAACTGTAAATTGTTCACTATAGGATAGAAATGGCCGGGCGCAGTGGCTCACGCCTGTAATCCCGGCACTTTGGGAGGCCGAGTCGGGTGGATCACAGGGTCAGGCGTTTGAAACCAGCCTGGCCAATAGGGTGAAACCCCGTCTCTACTAAAAAACAAAAAAAACTACAAAAAACCAAAAAAAAACCCTACAAAAATTAGCCAGGTGTGGTGGCGGGCGCCCGTAGTCCCAGCTACCCAAGAGGCTGAGGCGGGAGAATTGCTTAAACCCGGGAGGTGGAGGTTGCAGTGAGCCGAGATTGTACCACTGCACTCCAGCCTCGCAACAGCACGAGACTCCATCTCAGAAAAGAAAAATAAATAAGATAAAATAAGATAGAAATTATTCCTGTGAGGTTAAGAGACCTATTGTAAGGATTTCTTTTTATTCAACAAAATTTATTGACATTGAACAGTTTGTTGTCTGTTTTGTGCTTTTTAGGAAGATTTACATGTTAGGTTTGTTGCCAAGCAGCTAACAGGTAATGTTTCACATAACCCCTACAAGATGCTTGGTAATGTGTATCCATGCCTGATTAATTTCCTAGCACATGGTGGGTCTTCAGTTAATGTTTAATGATAATAGGGAAATGGCCTATAAAAGCCTTAAAACTTCGAAGTAAATTTCCACCCTATTTTATAAGGAATTATGAAATGTTTCCAAACTTTTGCATTTATGAAATGCTTAAAGCATATCTCCAAAAGCACCATTTCTAAAATGAGAGTTGATCAATACTTGGGGAATAAATGGGGCAAATGAAGATATTATATATACTTTTTATTTTTATTTATTTAATTTAAAAAATTTGTTTTTGAGGCAGAGTCTCACTGTCTCGCCCAGGCTGGAGTTCAGTGGTGCCATCTCGGCTCACTGCAACCTCTGCCTCCCGAGTTCAAGCGATTCTCATGCCTCAGCCCTCCGAGTAGCTGGGATTACATATGTGCACCACCATGCCTGGCTAATTTTTGTATTTTTAGTAGAGACAGAGTTTTGAAATGTTGGCCAGGCTGGTTTTGAGCTCCTGGCCTCATGTGATCTGCCCAGGGCCTCCCAAAGTGCTAGGATTATAGGTGTGAACCACTGTGTCCATCCTGTATATCCTTTATAAAAATTCTTTTATATGGGAAATATATGGTGTTATTTTTCTATAATAAATTCCTGAAACACAATTTCAATAATTTTTGGTTTGGGGTCTAATTGGGGAGTGTTTTTTTAATGGTGTAGTCTCATAAACTGAAAAATTGCTTTTGCACGCTGTCTTTCTTAGACTGTTTTTCGTTTAATTAAAAGTCTTGTGAGAAGTAGAAATTTGGATTGGAAAGATTGGGTGTTTGCTTCTTTCTGTCTTGTATTTATTAAAGGTTTCTTTCGGTTGTTTTATCTTTTTCCCTCCATTCTCCTCAATATATTTAGTTCTCTGTTCAGTCCCAGTGTACACACAAAGTAGTTGGAGAATTACCAACCCATACTCTTCTGAAAAATAAATTTAGTAACCAAAGTACAATAGTGCATACGGTTTTTTTGTCTTTATCTTTACCAAATGGTTTTCTGAAGTTACTTTGGTTAATTTTTTCTTCTCTATCTCCTACAATTTAGTTCTATTCTTATTTATTTATTTACTTTTTGAGACAGAGTCTCGCACTGTCACCCAGGCTGGAGTGCAGTGGCGCGATCTTGGCTCACTGCAAGCTCCACCTCCCGGGTTCACGCCATTCTTCTGCCTCAGCCTCCCGAGTAGCTGGGACTACAGGTGCCCGCCACCACGCCTGGCTAATTGTTTGTATTTTTTAGTAGAGACGGGGTTTCACCGTGTTAGCCAGGATGGTCTCGATCTCCTAACCTCATGATCCGCCTGCCTCGGCCTCCCAAAGTGCTGGGATTACAGGCGTGAGCCACCATGTCCGGCCTAGTCTTAATTTTTAATAGAGCTGGGTTTGCAGTTTGAGGTTCTCCCACATTCTGGTTGATTTGAACTATTTATTTGAAGGGATATGTAAAACATTACCATTGTTCTAAGAGTCAGAATTCTACTCAGAGACCAGTCAGTCATTTGCCAGGGCATACTCGGAGAACTGTCACTTCCCCCTCATATCTTTTATCCTATTCCCATCCCCTCTTCTTTCTACCCCGTTTCCACCTACTCTGTGGAGATAACTAATCTCACTGACTTCTCTCTCCTCTTGTTTTTGTACAAATGCGTGGATACATATAGTTATGCATCACTTAATGAGAAATGCATTGTTGGGCAATTTCATCTAAACATAGAAATGGTACGGTAAAAATACTGTATAAAAGATATGGTGTAAAAGATAAAAATGGTACACCTGTATTGGGTACTTAACTATGCATGGAACTTGCGGAACCAGAAGTTGCTCTGGGTGAGTCAGTGAGTGAATGTGAAGGCCTAGGACATTATTGTACACTACCGTAGACTTTATATACAGCATACGTGTAGGCGACACTGACTTTATTTTAAAATTTCTTCTTTTTTTAAAATTTTTTTTTTGTTTTTGTTTTATTTTTTATTTTTTATGAGATGGGATCTTTCCCTGTCACCCAAGCCGGAGTGCGGTGGCATGACCATGACTCACTGCTGCGTCAACCTCCCAGGCTTAAGCGATCCTCCTACCTCAGCCTCCTGAGTAGCTGGGACTACAGGTGCGTGTCCCAACTCCTGGCTAATTTTTAAATTTTTTGTAGAAACGAGGTCTCCATATGTTATCCAGGCTGGTCTTGAAGTCCTGGGCTCAAGCAATCCTCCTACTTGGGCCTCTCAAAGTGCTGGAATTACAGACATGAGTGAGCCTCCATGCCCTGCCAAAATTTTTTTCTTTCTTCAATACTAAATTAACCTAAGCTTACTGTAACTTTTTTACTTTATAAACTCTTTAATGTTTTAAAACTTTTTGACTCTTCTGTAATAACAGGTTAAAACACAAACACATTGTACAACTGTGCAAAAACATTTTCTTTTTACCCTTATTTGTAAATAGGAGTACACCTAAAATAATGATAAAAAGTATAGTATAGCAAATACATAAACCAGTAACAGTCATTTATTATCATTATCAAGTCTTATGTACATATGTAATTGTATGTTGTATACTTTTCTATCACTAGCAGTGCAGTAGGTTTATACCAGAATCACACACATGCATAATATGTCATGCTACATTACGATGTCACTAAGTGACAGGAATTTTTCAGCTCCATTATAATTTTAAGGGACCACTACTGCATATGTAGCTCATCATTGACTGAAACATCATTATGTGGTACGTGACTGTATGTATAGATATGTATCATCTCATATTTTCTTTCTTACATGAAGGGTAGTACACTCTAGGTATTCTTTTATGCTTTGATTTGATAATATATTTTATTGCCTGGGCACGGTGGCTCACTCCTATAATCCCAGCACTCTGGGAGATCAAGGCTGGAAGATTGCTTGAGCCCAGCAGTTTGAGAACAGCCTGGGCAACATGGCAAAACCCCATCTCTAAAAAAAGTACAAAAATTAGCTGGGCATGGTGGTGCATGCTTGTGGTCCCAGCTACTTTAGAGGCTGAGGTGGGAGGATTGCTTGAGCCCAGGAGGCAGAGGCTGCCATGAGCTGAGATTGCACCACTGCACTCTAGCCTGGGTGACAGAGTGAGACCTAGTCTCAAAACAAAAACAAAAACATATATTTATTATGTTATTGTAACATAGCCTTATTATGTACAGTCGGCCCTGTGTATCCATTGAGTTCTCTATCTGTGGCTCTAACTAACCATGGATGGAAAATTTTTGGAAAAAAAAAAGGATGGTTGCATCTGTACTGGACATGTATAGACATTTTTTCTCGTCATTATTCCTTAAACAATACAGTTTAAAAACTGTTTACCATAGCATTTAGATTATATCAGGTATTGTAAGCAATCTAGAGACGATTTCAAGTATATGAGAGGATGTGCATTGGTTATATACAAATACTATGCCATTTTACATGATGGACTTGAGCATCCGTGGAATTTGGTATCCACGGGGGTCCTGGAGCCAGTCCCCCGCAGATACCGAGGGATGGCGGTATGTTAATAATATATTCAGTTTATCTACTTAATGCATCCAGGAATCCTTCCTTATTAATTTATAGAATACTTTTTTTTTTTTTTTTTACAGCTGCATAGTACTCCATTGCATGGATGTGCCATAGTTTATTCAACCACTGTCCTGTATCTGGACATTAGGCTGTTTCCAGTGTTTTGTAATTATACAGTAGGCTTCAGTGTATATACTTTGTTGTTGAGGTGTACCCTCAGGGTAAATTCCCAAGGGTGGGATCACTGGACTGATTAAAGGTAAGTGCATTTGTTGTATTGTTAGGTACTGCTAAATTTCCTTCCAGAAAAGTTGTATTTGTCGTCGGTATTCTCACCTGCACAGCTATTTTCAGTTTTCTCACAGCCTCGCCAGCACATGTGTTGTCATTCTGGTTAATTGTTCCCAATCTGATGGGTGAGCATGGTGTCACAACTGGTTTTAATTTACATTTCTCTAATTATGAGTGAGATTGAACATCTTTCCACATGTTTAAGGGTTATTTTATGTCCTTGTGATGTGTTTTACTTTAAAAGTTTATTTTGGATGCACATTTTTTTTTTGGTTATCATTGTTAGGTTATTCGCCTTCAACTTGTCAGAACAGTAGCGCTCTAAAAACGCCAGACTTTATCATGACTCTCCTCTTTCAGATCTTCCGTGGTGGCTTATTCTAATTCGGCAGAAAGCATTGGTGGGCAAACTCCCAGGAGACCATGAGGTCTGTAAAGTTACCAAAATTGCTGTGCTGTCACTTTCTGAAATGGAACCTCAGGATCTTGAGCTAGAGGTAAGGTGAAATAAAGGGAAATTATGTGGAAACCTGATATAAATGTAATAGCAAATATGAGGATTTGGTTCAGTAGACCACAGACTTACATTTTTAGAGCTGGGTAATGTTTTTAAAATAATTTAATCCTATGATTTTCCAACTTCATTTTAGTAGTGGAACCCTTGTCTCAAAATCCATGAAACCTAGTATAGAAGACACATAAAAGCAGGGCCACTGTGGTTGAAGTAGTGTTGGGGGAATCCCTGGGGCTCTGTCCACTTGATCTCTCCTTGGAAGCCACCTTCCGTTTCCAGGGAGCCCTAGGGCCACAATACAGTTTGAAAACTTCTAGGAAAAAGGAGTGAGTTAAGAAAAGGAGACCTCTTATTATATCCTCTTTTATCTGCATTTCTTGAACATTTTCTAAGCATATATTACCCTATTACAGTTTAAAAAGAAAGTTTTTTAAAAGGAAGACAGTCACTCGTCTAATGTAATCTGTTTATTTTCCAGAGAAGAGCTCAAGTCCACAAGTAGAGTGATTTAAGGATGAAATATATGAGATTGCCTAGGGCCAGTGCTTTTTTACCACAAGGTGCTGCCTCCTAGTAGAAGTAACCCATGAAAGCATTTATGTCCTGTTTGCTCTCAGTGTGGGGATTTGACGCCTAGGAATTGTCCTCACTCCGACGTAGCCATAGCCTGTTTTGTTCACTGTTTGTTCATTGTGCCAGGTGGGCCCAGTGTATTACATAGATGATAATATTTAGTCCTTAGGACCACCCTATGAAGTGGGCATTACTACAAATAAAGAAAGGAGGCTAGGTGGGTGGCTTCTTTCTTTGACAGGCTGAGGCTGGAGGATCGCTTGAGCTGAGGGGTTCGAGACCAGCCTGGGTAACATAGCTAGACCTTGTCTTGTGGGGAAAAAAAAATAATGAGTGAGTAGATTTCAGAAAATAAAATAAGAACAAAGGCGGCCTGGCGAGGGTTAAGTCACGCAGCTGATACAGGTGGGGCCTGGATCTAGACTCAGGCTGCCTGGTCCTGTGTAACTCTGCTGAGCTGCCGCCCTCTTACCTGAACAGCAGGTAATGATAGCAAAGCACGCACTGCCTCACAAGTCAGCACGTGTTTTTCCATGTAGAGTTCTTGGGGAGGAAGTTTGGGGATAGGGTTAAATTGCCTTAAGAGTAAGTAAAAATGAAGCTATTTTTATGCTTTAAGTGTCACTGGAAGTTTGACAGTCGAATTTTAAGAAACATTAAAATGAATTTAAGCAGACTCTGATTATTATTTGTTATAGGAATCGAAAAAAGTTTGGAGTTCTTATTCTCCTTTTGTTGGTACTTTGGCTAGAACACTATTCACTATTGCTGATCGAGAGACAAAAAGCCTAGGCGGCAGTTAGGCCTATTAAAAGCAGATGTTTATAGTTTTTGTTTGCATTTTTTTTTTGGCAATGTCTTTTGGATGGTTTTGCTGACACACTGAAAGATCAGGATGGCTTGTTATCACAGACCTTTCCCTTGAAGGTGGGCACCCTTTGGCCTGGCATTCAGGTTTGAGCACTAAGCCTGGGGTCTCTGGCAGTTTGATTTAGAGCTGGGAGCCAGCCCGCCCAGCACTTTGTCCATCCGCCAGTCAGGATTTGCATATTTGGCACTCCCAGTTCTGGGGAAATTAAATGTCACACCTCATTCAGAAAAGGTTGAGGCCTTCAGGGAGGTTTTCTTATGTCGTTCATGGCCACCAATCTGTAACATTTTTGAGACTAGTAGCTGACTATTTAATAAATGGGGAAAAAACCAAGATGGCTTTAGGAACTAACATTTACATGATGTTTTTTAAGCCCAAAAGTGTGAATATTATCAAAACTTTAAGAACTTCTTTATTCTTCTTACTTTCCCTTTTTTTCCTCTCGATAATCTAAGGGAAAGAGATTATATTCAAATAAAAAGGAAAGTGAGATTTCCTCCATAGACATAATTATTTTGACAGCTGTTGGGCTATACAGTATAAACTACTGCACTTCTCAGGGGCCGCAAGATTGTGGTTCACATTAACAGCTGAATATACGTAATGACTCTGCTAATTAGGAGTAAAAGTAACAACAGAGAAAGTATTTCCAGATCCTATCTCAGTGAATAGTTTGGTACACCTTTCTCAAGAGATTATAATTTTAGCAATTTGTGCTTTCGCCATTTTTTCTTTCCTTGTAATCCTGTTTTATGGTAAAGGAGCTTTACAACAGTGAACAGCAGGAAGGGCAAATAACCACATGTTGAAAATCACGACTTTATTTTCTTTTAACATGTTAATTTAAATCTTGGTATCTTTATTTCAATTTCCATATAACTCAATTTAAAAGAGTTTTTAGAAGCTTAATCCTTTTTACATTGTGTTTTTTGATTATACAGTAAATTGTAAAAGAGAAGAAAAAAAATTCCCCCACTTGGAAATAATTGTTATTAATAGTCTACTGAGTTTTGGTGGGTGTTTCCATTTGTACGTAGGCTCTTTGGAGGACCAGTGTTACTTTCACATGTTTCAGAATAGTTTTTCTGTTTTGCATTTTTACATATTTTCTTCTAGTCTTATTATTTTTTTAAGAACGTAGGAAGACTTTGTTAAACAAAACTACATATTCCTCCTTAGTATGACTTTCTGATTTGGATGTCTGTGTATCAGTTTGAATAAGCTGCATTTATTCCAGCAGCATCTTTTAATGTGGTCACTGTTCCCAGATTTGCTAAAGCCTAAGTCTGTGTTCTGTAATTGGAGCAGAAGCAGTCTTATTTCAGAGATGGGTATTAATAGAATTTCTAGTTTTCTGCCTCTGTTGTCTTTTTATTTCAAATATATGCCTTATTTGTTTGCCAATTAAAAAAAAATTCAAATACCATACAGTTCACCCATTTAAAGTATATAAGTCAATGGTTTTTAGTGTATTCAGAGTCGTGTGGTTATCACCACAATCAATTTTAGAACCTTTCATCATCCCCCGAAAAAACCCCGTCTTCGTTAGCAGCCACTCCTCATTTCCTTCCCAACTCCAGCTCCTCAGCACCATGCAACCACTAATCTCCTTTCTGTCTCTATAAATATTTGTCTATTCTGGACATCTCATATAAACAGAATAATATACCACGTGGCCTTTTGTGGTGGACTTCTTTCACCTAGCATAGCTTTTAAGTTTCGTGCCAGTTGTAGTGTGTAGCAGTACTTTATTTTTCTTTATTGCCAGATAATCCCTTGTATGGGTATGTCACATTTTATTTCTCTGTTCATCAGTTGATGGACATTTGAGTTGTTTCCACCTTTTAGCTATTATGAATAATGCTGTTATAAACCATTTTGCATACAAGTTCTTGGTGATATATTTGTTTTTATCTCTCTTGGGTGTGTACCTAGGAATGGAATTGCTGGGTCATATGGTAACTCTAACCTTTTGTGGAACTGCCAGACTGATTTTTTTTTTTTTTTTTTTGAAACAGAGCCTCGCTCTGTCCCCCAGGCTGGAGTACAGTGACATGATCTCGGCTTACTGCAACCTCTGCCTCCCTTGGTTGAAATGATTCTCCTGCTTCAGCCTCTCAAGTAGCTGGGACTACAGTTATGTGCCACCACACCCGACTAATTTTTTGTATTTTTAGCAGAGATGGGGTTTCACTGTGTCAGCCTGGTTAGATGGTCTTGATCTCCTGACCTGGTAATCCACCCACCTTGGCTTCCCAAAGTGCTGGGATTATAGACGTGAGCCACTATGCCTGATTTTCAAAACAGTGTGCTATTTTACAAAAACGATGTAAAGAGGCCAGGCACAGTGGCTTATGCCTATAATCCTAGCACTTTGGGAGGCCGAGGCAGGAGGATTGAGACCAGCCTGGGCAACATGGTGAGACTCTGCCTGTACAAAAACAGCCATGTGTGGTGGTACATCCCTGTAGTCCCAGCTACCCGGGAGATCACCTTAGCCCGGGACTTTGAGGCTGCAGTGAACTGTGATTGTGCCCCTGCACTCCAACCTGGGCAATGGAATGAGACACTGTCTCCAAAAAGAGAGAGAGAGAGAGAGGTAGGGGTCAAGTGCAGTGGCTCATGCCTGTAATCTCGGCACTTTGGGTGGCCGAGGTGGGAGGATTGCTTCAGGCCAGGAGTTTGAGACCAGCCTGGGCAACATAGCAAGACCCTGTCTCTATAAAAAATTTAAAAGTTAGCTGGGTGTTGGCCGGGTGTGGTGGCTCACGCCTGTAATCCCAGCACTTTGGGAGGCTGAGGCGGGCAGATCACCTGAGGTCAAGACCAGCCTGACCAACATGGAGAAACCCCGTCTCTATTAAAAATACAAAATTAACCGGGCATGGTGGCACATGCCTATAATCCCAGCTACTCGGGAGGCTGAGGCAGGAGAATCGTTTGAACCTGGGAGGCGGAGGTTGTGGTGAGCGGAGATCATGCCATTGCACTGCAGCTTGGGCAACAAGAGTGAAACTTCGTCTCAAAAAAAAAAAAAAAAAAATTAGCTGGGTGTAGTGGTGTATATCTATAGTCACAGGTATTCAGGAGGCTGAGGCAGGAGGATTACTTGAGCTCTGGAGTTTGAGGCTGCAGTGAGCTGTGATTGCATCACAGCACTCCAGCCTGGTTGGTGGAGTGAGACCCTGTCTCTAAAAAAGAATATTTAAAAATCTGTATAAGGGTACGAATAATCTGTAATGGTTTAAACAATGAGGACATAGATGTTTTTTCTTTATACCCTTTAAAGTTATATAGGTTTTGTTCCATGTCTGCGTATCTTATTTGCGTATCTCATTGCCTTAATAGATAACCGCATCATTTTCCCTGTTTAGTTTCCATCAGACATCTGTTTAAAATTTTAGGTTCAGATGGATGTAGATACCAGCTTTTCACATAAAATTATTTATGTCCCTTTTCTTAAATGGCAGCAGCAACATCAACCCTTAATCTTGGTCATAAGATGTAAGTTGCAAGCACAATTTAAAAACTAGGGAAGT